CTTCCAATTTAATTTTACACAGAATCTCAGCAAGATATTATTTAGGTGGTTTAGAATTTATTTGGGCTCTTTTAACTGTTGTTCAAGCTACTGCTAAAACTTTACCACAAATGTATGCCATTCGTTTCATTTTGGGTTTTACTGAAGCTGGTTTCTTTCCAGGTATGGAATATCTTATTGGTTCCTGGTATTCTCCAGCTGAGTTGAATAAGAGAGCATCATTATTTGCATGTGCTGGTATTGCAGCATCAATGGTGTCAGGTCCTTTGCAACAAGCTGTTTTGACTGGTGTTGCTAAAAATAGTAAAAAATACGAAGCCTTCCAATGGTTATTTATTGTGGATTCTATCATTTCCTTCCCAGTTGCATTTTATACGATGGCAGTTGATCCAAATACTCCATCTACTACCACAGCTTCATACTTTACTGATAACGAAAAATTGATTGCTTTGGAAAGAAGAAGAAGAATTGGTGCTCAATTAAACACCAGACAAAAGTATACTTGGGCAAAGGTAAAATCGTTTTTCAACACATGGCATATCTGGGTTTTCCCATTCATTTTCTTGCTTTATAACAACAGTTGTGGTGCAATTGGTCAACCAACATTTACTACTTGGATGAAAGATGATTTACAATTACCTCCTGAAAAATACAACATTTATCCAACTGCTTTATTTGGTGCTTGTATTGGTTTTACAATTGTGATTTCTTATATCACAGATTATACCAAAAACAGATTAAATGCATTTTTCACTCAAGCTTACTTCATTATTGTTTTGATAGGATGTATTATTTTAGCTGTTTGGGATGTTCCAGTTGGATTGCATTGGCTTTCATACTTTTTGATTGGTATTCCTACAGGATGGGGTCAACCTCAAATTTTTACTTGGGTCAACAAGTTATTAAGATATGATGATATGAAGAGAAACTTTGTTGTTGTTTGTGTTAATACAATTCCTTATATCACTAATACATGGGTTCCTAATTTAGTCTGGAATACCAACCATCTGCCTGAATTTTTTGTTGGATTTACGTATAATTCATGTCTTTGTGTATTGGGTATTCTTCTCACTGGACTTGCCAGCTATTTCACTTATAGGGATGAAAAGCTTGGTCTTTATTACGATGGAAACCAAGAAGAAAGTAGTACCTCAGATGAAGAAGTTGAAAAATTGGAATATCCTAACGATTCCAAGGAAAAAGTGGAAATTTTTAGTGAACCCAGAGACAAGACTGTTGTCTGATAGGTATTTTTGTTTATGTTTTTTTTTTTCAGTAGAGGATCAGTTTTTGTGATTAAAAACAATCAATCTTGGTATTTTTTTTTGAAACTTGTTTTTCCAATTTAATTTTTTCTATAACTTTATACATATAGTTTTCTATGAAATTTCTTTTATAGCAAAATGAATATTTCTATTTATCAATTGTCTCAGTCCATACGTGGAAATATAAACAACACAAAACAGCTTCTAGCACTTTCCGAATAAGGCCGCATACATTTACCTGCAGTTTTCAAAACTTACTCAAAATCCCGAAAACAAAGCGGTTTTGAGGTGAGAGGTTTCCTGATAGGCAGATCTCTCTGAGCGATAAAATCTTTTTGTCCACAGTCACAATCAGATTTTTCCTATTGTTGACAATGCAGCCGAATGAACATATTGGAAAAACAGCAAACATCGCAGTCGAATCTATCCGACAGAATAAGCTGATTATCTTGATGCTAAGAAAAACGTCGGAGCTCTCGAAAAGCGTGCTACGGGCAAATTAAATAATATGGTGAGAGAACTGGCCGTCTCTCCTGATTTGCTTACACAGTTGTGTCTTTATTATTAGTAATACAATAATATTATATGGTGAGAAATTTGTGGCTCACTCCTAATTTCGTTATTTCAGATCCGATAATCCAAACGGTTTTCTGCTGAATCCTGGAATATATCTGGAAGAATATAAAATGGATAAATATGTTGATACAAAATTGGGGTATTCGTTAAGATTGATTTATCAAAGAAACAATTTGAGTGAACTTTAGGGTTCCAATTAATCTCTGCAGACTTTTTATAATTTGAGAGAGAAGGCGAACAGCAAAAAGCAAAAAGCAAAAACAAACAAAATAGAAAAATGACTATTGAATCACTGATAAAAGATGTTGCCATAATTGGTGCAGGACCATCTGGTATTGCTGCAGTTTACGAGCTAACTCACACCTTACAAGATGGGACATCCATTTTTGGAGTGAAAGATATATCTCCCTATAAAGACCAATTAGCTTTTAAAACTGTTGTTGCTTTTGAAAGAAACTCGTCTGTGGGTGGTATTTGGGGGAAAGCTGTTGCTGAAAAAGCGATTGATCCCTCATTGCCTAGATTAGAAAGTTTGGCTGAAGACATAGATTATTCAAAACCTGAGAATATATATTTAAAATCGAAAATCCCTGAAAATCTAAATGATTCAAACGATTATCAAAATCCAGTTCTAATTAAGAGAAAAATCAACGATACTTCAGATAAATATCAATGGAGTGGTTCTGGAATTTATAAAGGTCTTTTCACAAATGTTAGTAAAAAATATATGAGTTATTCCTTTGATGAATATGATCTCAACTCTATTAAGAATAGACCCTTGAAGGAATTATTAGCTGCTGGTGAAGTTGGAGATTACCTTGAAGAATCTGTTAAAAAAAATAACTTGGGGGAATACATTAAATTAAACTCAAATGTCGAATACACTGAGAAAATTGAAAACAAATGGCATGTAACCATTCAAGAAAGAATATTTGATGCCGAAAATGGCACTGTTATTGAAAAATGGTATAAACAAAAATTCGATGGATTAATTATTGCAAATGGCAAAACTATTCCTTATTATCCAAAGATTCCAAGTTTTAAACAATTCATTGAAAAAAATCCCAATGTTGTCATTCAACACTCAAAATCAATTTATGACCCAGAGATCTTGGTTAATCAAAAAAAACTTTTATTTATTGGAGGAAATGTCAGTGCTGTTGATTTAGTCCAATATTGTTTTCCCAGACCATTAGATCCTCCAACTATTTTTGTTTCTAAAAAACAAGAGGGGGATAAAAAATTTTGGATTGAAAAATGTTTAAATTCTGGCGGAATAGTCAATAAAACTGTAATTAAAAGATTTTTACCTGATATCAATGGAGTTGAATTTGAAGATGGATCAATAGAAACAGACTTTGACTATATCGTATTTGCTACTGGATATCATGTTTATTATCCATTCCTTGAGACAAAAAATTATCTCAAAAAGTATCCCAGGGCATTAGATTTTTTTCTTTTTACTTTTTCAGTTGATGATCCAACTTTAACTTTGGTGGGAAATACCTATGCTGCTTTTTTCTTTAATAGAAATGAGGCAATAGCAACAGCAATTGCTGGAGTTTGGTCGGGCTACACTAAAGTAGCATCCCGAGAAGAAGAAGACAAGTGGTTTGAAGAAGTCAAAAGAAGACAGACTCAAGTTTTAGGTCTTCTTTATGGAGCTGCTAATATCAAAGAACAGTATATCGATGTTCTATGGAATTATGCGCCCAAGGGAAGACCAAATCCTCTAGCTGGAATTAGAGAGTCTCATGTTGAAGATTCAGCCAATTCTGCAAATAACATAGAACATCTATTTTTCGCTATCAAAAACGGAGAGCTAACGCCTCAAAATGTGTTTAAAGAAATATAATATAATAATAGATAACAACAAAAAGAACAAAATACGATATTAATTGAATTTTAGAGCTTTAGGAAGTGAAGGCTTTGCAACAGCTCGTGTGGCGCAGTGGTAGCGCAGCAGATTGCAAATCTGTTGGTCCTTAGTTCGAATCTGAGTGCGAGCTGCTTTTATTTTTCAAACCCGTTATTTCGCTATCCTACATTGTTTTAAATTATCCTAGAGATATGAAATGAAGAATATGTCGATATTTCGGACTGTCTAAAGTAGGACTAAATAAGAGCTGCGATTTTTCAAGAATGAAACTCAAACTGCACTGGTTAAATAAACTCAAATAATGCTGCTTTATGCGATCGAACAGAAAGTAACATAATTCTGCAGACAGTTCCCAATTGGGAAAACTGTGGACTGTGGAGTAAAATCAATGCAACATCTCACTCCATATTTCATGAATTGTTTGGATTAACAAATATATCACCTGAAGTCTCTTCTTATATCCTGTTGTTAGATAAGTGCCTGCTTACTAATTAGTCTTTTGGTTTATTTTCCTCTGCATTGATTACGATTGGAGCAACAAGACTCTTTTTCTGTTTGGAGAAAGCATTCAATGAGCAGTTATGGGGTTAATAATTGGCATTTAATATTCAAATTGAGATTTGGAAAGATAATCAATTTGATTAGTAATGAGTTTAGGGTATTTTTTGAAGAAGAAAAAAATCATATATAAAGAAAGCAAAAAGTGAGGTTTCTAGTTTGAGCCCATCATTATCTACACAGTCGATAAATCACAGATAGATTTGGTAACTAAATATGTCTCAAACTATTACATTACAAAACAACCAACCACCAGTTGCTCAGTTAGAAGCTTTGAGCATTGATCGGAAAATTGAAAACATCATCAAGAACAACAAGGATTCAGCCTATGTTCATAGCGGATCGGCCACTAGGAAAGATGTTCCAGCAGGTGCTAATCCAGAAGGTTTAAAGAAATTACCACCATCCACTCTCAAAAGATTTCAAAAAGCTGGTGTTGATCTATCAGAGGGTTATCCTGCGGTTCCTGACAAAAGCAAGATTCCTGTATTTCTTGACGAGGCATTCCAAATTAGAAACAAAGAGTATCCATACATTGAAAGAGCATTGAATGCTGATCCAGAGAAGAAAGCATTGTTGGGTGCTGCCAAAGAAGTTATTCATCTTACCAAGAAAATTGGTACTGAGATTGTTGGATTACAATTAGCTGATTTGACAGACCAACAAAAGGATGAGTTGGCATTGTTGGTTGCAGAACGAGTTGTTGTGTTCTTCCGAGACCAAGACTTGTCACCTCAAAAGCAATTAGAATTAGGACACTACTGGGGTCAAGTTGAAGTCCATGCTCAAGTTCCAAGAGTTCCAGGTTTGGATGGTGTCACTGTTATCTGGCAAGACTATACAACTACTAATTTGACTTTCAAAAATAATAATTTTGGAAACTTTGATTCCAAATTTGCTGGTTTGGGTACTCAAAACTGGCACAGTGATTTGGTTCACGAATTTCAACCAGCAGGTATCACCCATTTACACAACGATGCTATTCCAGACGTTGGCGGTGATACAGCTTGGTCATCAGGTTACGCTGCTTATGACAAATTGTCTCCAGCTTTACAACAATTCCTAGATGGCAAGGAAGCCATCTATGTCTCAGCCCATGGATATCTTGACAGAGACGACCCATTCAGTGGTCCAAAGAAAATAGAGAGAAGACATCCAATCATTAGAACTCATCCTGCCACTGGCTGGAAAGCATTATTCGTCAACAGAAGTATGACCAAAAGTATTGTTGGATTGGAACCTCCAGAATCAGAAGTTATCTTGAACTATTTGTTCAACGTGTTGGAGAAGAATACTGATATCCAAGTGAGATTCAACTGGAAGTCATCTAAACCGGGTTATGGTACATCTGCTCTCTGGGACAACAGAGTATCGAATCACAGCACCATCTGGGACCATGAAGGATTGGAACCAAGACATGGAACTAGAGTTACTTCATTGGCAGAAATTCCATTTTTTGATCCAAAATCTAAGTCTCAAAGAGAAGCTTTAGGT